GGCAGAGACCCGGCGAATCGCATTGTCTCGTGTCGATCCGGGCGCGCATCATGGTCGCACTTTGAAGGTTACTTACTATCGATGCTTGCAACATACTCCTGACATCGGCCTGACACCCCTCGTCGTAATTTCCGACTGAACTTGCCAGTCGTTGCTTAAACATTAAACTAATCGGATCAAGGCGCTGCATCTGGAGGCCGCTTTTTCTGAGCGTCGACGATAATCGACGAGCGCAGCGGCGACCTTGAATTTATTATTGTATTTTTTACGACACCGTGAGCATCCGAGGTAGATACCGAGTAACGATCGTGGATGTAGAACGTCGTCGTTAATGTCACGAAATCTATTTATGTAACGAAGCGACTGGCACTCTCTCGTACTTCGCATTCGACTGGATTAATCTGGAGATGATATCTCTAATAAGAGTGTAGCGCGCGTAAAACTGATCACGTCCGGGGCCGCGTTTCGACACCGGACCATCTCAGCGGGCGAATAACGGTAGCGTCCGAGATAAAGCGGACGATGAAGAGGATGACGACGGCAGCGACGATGACAACGATGATGATGCAGGGCCCTCGAGTACGCAGCTGGCCGCACCGCCGCCGCCGCCGTCGCTGCCGTCGCCGCCGCCGTGCATTATCCCATCGTGCAATACCTATCTCATCCAAGGCCAGTTGTACTACAGCTACGCGCGCTACATTGCATATTGCAGCGGAAAATAAATCGTTGCGCAACACCGCAAGGCGCGATAGAACGCGAGGGTGCTACTCGCTCGCAGTGGCATAAAATTATTGCCTCGTTTATTCCAGGCAATGATCTCATTGCCGGCTCCGCGTTGATATCGGGACATCGATTACCGCGGCGACGGTGGAAATCGACGTTGCGCGTTTCGAGGGGGAAAAAATCCGTTTTATTATCTTTAAATGAACTTTGAATAATATCTGCCTCACATCGAGCACACGCACTCGCGCTGGACGGGATTTATTCCTTGATTTCCTTGAGCCCTGATATAAATGCGAATAACAATAATCATTATAAACAAACGCCCTCGCGCGTACATCGCCGCGGTTTAATTTAATTTACGTCGCATTACAATCAGCGGGAGGATATAAATGTTAAGCGATTCTACAATCAAATAAATATCGCGAAATACGATACGGTGTCCTCGTGGAATTGTCAACGCGATAATTTCCGTAATTTTCATAAACACACCTCGGTGTACTTTGTCTCGCTATTATGCGAGAAGCGCCGCTGTAAATGTTGCGAACGCTTTATCAGGCCAATAGCGATTCATTTTCCTCCACGTCACGCGTGAGGCGCGCGATGAGGTCCGATCGTCAATGTATCCACTTGAAAATATATAAAAAGCTCGTTAAACTGAGACGCGTGTATACGACGCCTCCTGCGGGGTACGCGTCCGTGCGCGGACTTGGGACCCTTAAATTCGGAGTTGAGGGATACGACGAAAAAGAGAAAAAAAAGAGAGAGAGAAAGAGAGAGGAGGCATCAGTGAGAGTCAGGTATAAATACACCAAAGAAGCGGGGTCCCTCTCGGGCCAGAACCCTAGCAATAAAAAGGAGGAGGGAAGCGGGGAGTATTGAGGAAGAAAATAAGACGAAACAAAGTATATATCGGAGAACCGGCTCATCAGCTGGTCGAACTGGTCTGTTGTGTTGTCGTCCTCCTTCCGCTCGCTCGCGAAGCTCGGCTCCGTCTCCCTTCGTCACGAAAGATTGTTACTGCCCTGAATTTTATTCGGAATACGAACGACTAGCTTCGAGTATCGCTGGGGTATCGAGTTCATATCTGATAAATGGCCACTGAGAGAGAGAATATATTAAATTCTCTATATTCCGGTGCCGAGAAAAATTATTTTCTCTGACCTCAAACTTCTATAAATTTAATTTGTTTTAGGTGCAACGATTGTTAAAAATAACATTTTGATTAACTGAAATTTTATAAGATTTATCATGACACAAATATGCATATTTATTATAATTGTGTTATCATATAAATTATATGTTTAAATAATGAACAAATAAATGTGCTCATTAGTTAGGAGATTGTATAACAATTTGTTCCATCCGCTATTGCTTTCGTCTAGATTGCTCTGCATCAGCTCCATCGAAAAACCGATAAATATCGGAAACTCGAAATTAATTACGCGTACGAAACGTTTCGAAATAGAAATAATTAAATAACGTGTAATAGTAAAGTTATCATATAATTTATATATTACATGTAATTTATTCTAACTAATACATATATTTTAATGTTTCCAGGTGAAGGCGTACTTAACTGGGATACGATCGGTGAGTGATTTTACTTACTATATTTTCTTTATTATATTGATGTAATGTTTTTTATTTACTAATGCTTTTCAAATAATTGCTGTGCTTTGATAATCTATAAATTACATTTTTACAAATGTTTATTTTAATAGCAAAAAATTTCAAATTTTGCATGTAGAAAAAGAATTTTGTTGTGTAAAAGCATAAATTGGAAAAAATTGGTTTTAAAATTTTAAACATATAAATTTATAGAATATAGTATTAAATATACTTTCAATATATATATATATATATAGTGTTTTTTATTTACTTTTATAAATTTAATCTTTGTTTTTGCTCTTGCAAACTTATTCTTGTTCTTGCATAGACCGTATTGTCAAAGCATAGTTACGAATGATGCAGTTCATTGGTGCGAGGAAAAAGCTATGGTTATTGACACAATTGCTTATGCAGCAATTGACAGAATAGATTCGCTTTTATGGCATGCGTTTCATTGCGTGCTTCTTTTCTTTCGTGGAGCATCGTAAAATTCGAATTTTAAATAACACACTGGCTATAAAAGTATCAATACATTGTACTTTTTGTACTGCAATGTCTCTGTGGCCTTCACAATTATCCAAAGTATCTGTAACTATTGATCCATTTATATTTTGCAATTACAGTGAAAGTTTAGCAGATTTGAAATTTCAAGGATAATTTACTCGAATGACGTATATTGATTTAAAATAATAGAAAACAAGCTGGTCGTTTAAATTGAAATCTGAAGCGATTTATTTCTTCATTATTTGCTCAAACGTACGCACAATTATGACAAGATACATATAATGCAATTACAATTACAAGGGAATTAATTGCAAAAAAATAAATATTGTATCGCCGAAATTATGCCGGATACACCGGACGTCTTTCGGCACGCTTCGGCGCAATGAACCGCTTTCGAAACCCGCGTTACGCAGCGAGCACCCTGTATTTAGAGGCGACGGCCTTAGTGGCTCGATCGAGGCTTCCGTGGCGATGCACGGCTTCTTCCTTTATGCAGTCTTCTTCAACGGCTCCTTGGCAGCCTTAGGCCCAGTAGAAGGCTCTCTCTCTCTGCCTTTTTCTCCCCTCTTTTTCTCTCTTTCTCTCTTCTGTTCCCTTTGCAATCTCCTTCTATCTCCTCCCTCGTCTTCTCCTGGTGAACCTCCGCGCTTTTTTCCCTCTTCGCGGTAGCCGTCTTCTTTCCTCCGCGCGTCCACCTCGATCGCTCTCGCGCTCTCCTCTTCCTCCGCCCGCCCCCCTCGGCATCGCTGTCCTCTGCTCTCCTTTTCCCCGCGTTAGTAGGAAAGCCAAGTGGTCCTTTTGCTCGGCGTTCACCGCTGGCGCGCGCGGCCGGGAGGCATATAATTTTCTCGGTGTTTTTATTGCGGGGTAACTTGTCTTCAGGTGAGCCGGTCGAGAGGTGGAGGTGGCAGAGGCCGCGGAGGTAGAGTACTACAGGCACAGCTAACGCGCAGTAGCTTTACCCTTCTCTCCCGTTTCCCTCCTTCCGCTGCCTCTTCTGCTCTCTTCGCGTCTCGCTAGGTGAGTTTCCCTCTCTCACTCGCGCCCGTTGCTTTTTCCCTTTGCACGCCCTTTGCCTCTCATTCTCTCCTTCTCTCTCTCTCTCTCTCTTTTCTGCACTCTTCCCGCCTCTCTTCTCTGTAACTCTTCTTTTTCGCCTCGGGTGTCTTTGTTTCTCCTCGTTCGCCGTCTCGTTTCCTCCCATCTTTCGCCCCTCTCGCCTCTCGCGCGCCTCCGCAACGGCAGCTACGGCAGCATCCTTCGAAGCGCAAGGATTTTGACCCTCGTTTCGTGTTGCTTGCGTTTCGCCGTAACTTTCCTGACTTTGTTTTTCGCCTCCGGGTGGAGGAGCAGAGAGAAACAGAGAAAGGGAGGAGAGAGAAAAAGAGAGAGAGATAAGGTTGATAAACCGTCGGGTTCACCTCCGTCCTTCTTCTCCCGCACAGGCTACCACGGTACCTACGAATTCGCGTTTCCTATTTCCGTCGACCCACGCTTTCGTCGACACGATCGAAAAGGTTGATAGGTCGCGATTCGATCACGATTCTTTTATTGTCGCCAAGTCCTCGACACTGTCAACTCTGCTGGCGCGGCTTTTCTATTGCATCGCTGATCGTCGACGTTCAAAGCGCCCCTTTGAATATCGGATACGACGAAAATTCGAGAAATTGATACTTTTATGCCGCCACTATAAAATACATTCATGCGTGACATCCTGAAATTGCTATACTCTTTGGAAACCAATAAAAGTGAGTCGATAGCTAAACATCCGCTGTTAAAAGTTAAAGATTGTCAAAAAAAAAAAAAAAAAACGTGAGGAAAATGTTGGAAGTGATTTTTTACTTAAGACAGCGTTTTCCATATCTTGTAAAGATCAACAATGCATTATGCATTCCGGGGTTCCACTCGTTTCTACTGTAACACTCGTGTTTTATCGCCTACGCCCCGACCTGTGTAATAAATTTGAAATTAAAATTCAGCATAGAGCGCATTTGTCACCGCGCATACAAAACTTGACTCCGCCCGGGACTGAATTTTGCACCACATAAATCTTTTTTCCATACTGTCGGCTTTAGTCAGGTCTATCCCAATTTACGATCCTTCTGCTCGTTTTAACTGCAGTGTCGGATTTCATACGACCGAGCGTAGCACCGTCCGAAATATCCGCGCGACGTCACATCGTTCGGCGCGATCCGCCGGGACGGTAATCGTAACGCGGAACGTCTTAAATGGCGACGTGCCATAACGTCCGTCCGCGTAATTAGACTCTCGAATCGCGCACCTGTGCGCTCCCATGACGTGTCCCGCCGCTCGGCACACAGTCGTGCGCTTGAGTGGTTCGCCGGCGAGGATAAAAAAAAATCTCGAGCTTGATTTGTCAATACGGAATCTCGGCGGCGAGATTAGTCACGTGCGGGCGATAATGCCTCGCGAATGCGGTACACACGCCGAGGTGTGCCGGTTAGAGTAGATCTATAACCACCGCGATTAGTTGCACAAGGATTACAATGCAACAGCCTGCGATGATCCGATGACAATCTTGCTACACGGTCTTATCTTCGCGGACCTCGCAGTCTTTTGCGAATCGCGATCGCAATGGAATAGATGTTTTTAAGCGCAATCCTTGTTTGGCAAAGAGAAATAATTTTTCTGTCGCGCTCGTAATTTTAGCTGGAAGACAACAATGAAGATTTAAGATTTGCGCGCGATTTTCGGGGTCGGACGAAAGTTGCGCGGGGTATGTCGTGGAATTGACGCGAACTCGCCGTGAATGCGTCGGCCGGTGACACGGTCGTCGCAATAATCGGCGACCACGTGCGCGCACTTAAACGACGACCGGGCGTAGAAGCATTCGCCGGATTCCAATTTCGCGAGGCCAGCGGAACCCCATTATACGTACATCAGAGAACGGAGACGTGCACCGGGAGGCCCTCGGTCAAAGCTCGAAGTCGTGCTGCTCGTCCTCGATCGATCGGAGCGCATCGCCGTGGGATCTCTCGCGCGCGCGGCTTTCCCTCCCCCGTCGCTCTCTCTCTCTCTCTCTCTCTCACTCTCTCTTGCTCTTCATGCATCCCTCTTCCTCTCGAATCCTCGTCTATCTCGAACGCGCCGCCGGTAGCTCCCGTTTCGATCTCCCCGGCTGCGCGCTGCCTGGTAGCGCGAGTAACGCGCCAACTCGCGTAGCATATTATTAGCAACATCCCTGGCTGCCCGATCGCCCCTGTGGGCTACCGTACCTCGCACCACGCCTCTCCGTTTCTCTCCCGATGCTGGGGAACAGAAGCCGTCGCATCGGATCTCTCATGTGCGGTGCGCGAGCGCACTTTGGCGCGTGTGGTAGTGGCGCGCTACGAATACGTGAATGCGCGTATGCCGGCGCGTACGGTGCGCGCGTATGCATCTCGCACGGTCCCGTGTGTATGTACAGTGTGGCAATAGCAGCCCCATCAGCAGGACAGGCATAAGAGCGAAGGACGGAGCGAGATGAGGCACGGGAGGGAGGGAGAGAGAGAGAGAGGAAGAGTGAAAGGATGATAGGGGGAGGGAAGAGGCTTATTGTTGATCGCTAATTATCCTGCCCGGCAATTACATATAATTATCTGACACGCACGCACATCAGCGTGTCCCTTCACGCTGCGTTTCGCGATATTGGGCAATCGTGTATGTGTGCACATGTATGTATGTATGTATGTATGTGAGTGTGTGTGTATTTGCACGTTGGTGTGCGGGTCGTAGTGTCGAGGGTTGTGGAGGGAAGGCGAAACCGATGTACCCGACAGCGTGACGCCGACCGTAGGGCTATTCCTCTTTTTTTCCCTCCCTTTGCCTCACCCCTCTTTGTTCTCTCCTTCTTCTTCTTCTTTCATGAGCTCTCCTGCTCGTCCACTCTCTCATCGAGGGGGCCTCTCGCCGTTCTCGCTCGACCCCTCCGCTATCACTGCCCAATCTCCTGGCTTTTATCGCCGCAGCGACGTGGCTACCGGTAGCAGGGGTTTTCGGACGTCGGGATGATCGAGAAATCGATTCGTACGAGCGATCTTATCTCCGATGCAGATGCTGTCGCGTTACTTCTTTTCGAAGATTTTTATTTCTCGGACGTTGTCTTGTCGTCGAATGATTGATGATGGCTTTACCATGTACCGTATGTTTTTTAATAGATATTCGGAGGTGCTAAATTATCATATCGGAATATGATAGTTTGTTACATTAAAAAAGATCTTGTAAGAACTTCCGAAGCTCGCATGTTAATATTACGTTCCATTTTCTGATCATAAATAACAGTGAGATTTTTATTGTATAATTATTTTGATTCCACTTAGATTATATATAATTATTTTATCGTATAATAGACACAGTGGTATACGCTGAAATTTATTTATTTGATTTGTGTTCAAACAAATTTCCTACGAGTAAATATTGATTAGATTATTCGCTAAATGAAACATGTATGTATTCTAATGTAAGAACCGAAGTTTGCA